CACAAGACAGTCTCTTCACTGCTCTTTTCTGCCACAGGGCTGCTTGGGAAGCTTCCTCGTGGCCGGTCCTCTTTATATTGGACACAAATCAAACTTTGTTTTTGCTACATTTAGGGCAATGGATAAATTTCTACCCTTTACCCAGTGCCTTTAGGGAATAGATGACTTAAAATTTCACCCTACCACAATCCAACCATTGGAAAAGGTCAATAAAGAGCTCCACTAAAAGGAGAAGAAGCAGGAGCCAGGCCTGCGGACTAGGAGGGTGGTGTTCTGAAACCCGGAGCGTGACCACAGTAAAGGGAGCAGGGTAAAGAGGCTGAGCTGTTCTGGCCTGGTGGGGCACCCAGGCAGCCCTGAGAGGCCTTGGTGAGCCGAGGTGGCTGGCAGTGGGCACTGGGGGAAGCCCCACCACAGAGAAGTGGGTGAGTCAATGTGAAGGCTGCAGGCCTGTGGACCAACAGCGGACCCATAAACTTAACCACCGGAGCTTCCCCAGCCCCGCTGGCTATCCAGGGCTACCAGGAGCTTCTGCTCACAGCATCCTACAGTCTACTTGCAGGTCTGTGACCTAACAAGATGGTCTTATCTTCAGTATTAGAGGAAAAATGAATCTGGAACTAGAAGTGTTACAGGATATCAAAAATCTTTTCCCTCTTTCATTCCTTCAAGCTCTTGAAAGCCATGATGGGAGGAAGGCATCTGGCTTGGCCCAGGGACTGTGCCCAGTTGGGGAAAGGGATGCTGGAGGATAAAGGCTCTGCTCTGCTGATATAGAAGTGCTTCCTGCTGCCAGGCATGAAAGAGGGCTCCTCTCAGGTCCCTGTGTCTGGGGACTCAGGAACCTTTGGAGCTGCCCATTCCCGTCTGGCTGCTTCTCTGCCTGGGCCTCACCTGCAAAGTAATGATCTTAGTGATCACAGAAAGAGTCAGGGGCAAAAAATCGAGGAAGTGAAGCTCACATGGAGACGCTGGCAATTGCGCAAGTCCTGGAACTCTACAGAGAGGCCAATATAAGAGAGGAGGATGTGAAGTTAGGACTCCTCCACCCCGTTACCCCTCCTGAAGAAGGATGGCCTGGCCCTAAGAAGAGGCTGCTGTAAAACGTGCTTGCTAGGATACTGCACCTGGGTTCTGAGGCCCCCAGCTCTAGGTTCCTGCATCCTTAATGTCAGGTTACCTGGTTTGATTCACCTTTGGTTCCAAGTCTCCAAACAACCCTGAAATATTCTGCATCTGTGGGCTGGAAATCACAGCAGGGGACAGGAGGCAAAGGGCCTAGGAGTTGGGCAGGGATAAGTGCTAGGCAAAGACAAAAGGGACACAGTAAAAGGAAGAGACAGGACAAGGAGGCCTCTGTCCCTGAGTTACAGAATGTCCAATGTTACCCAGAGCAATCCTGAGGAATTTGTCCTTTTGTTTCCCAACCCTAGCATCCCGGAAGGTGGAGATTCTTCACTAAGCACGGGCTTTTTGACCTCAGGAGGAAAGGGAAGGGTCATTGTAGCCCTTCCTCCTGTTCACCCCACCGCAAGCCCAACCAGACCCAACACTGTCCCTTGTAAATTATCTATCTCATTCAATTAAACCAGAAAAACCTTCGGAATGGTTACTTCTCTTTTCACTGAAACCTCAAGAGAATAAAACATGGAATAGTTGATCCAATGATCATTCAACACTATGATTGGCCACCTACTATGTGCTAGGTGCCATGGTAACACAGCAATAGGGAGTAAGGCAATACACCTGGGAGGGCTGCCCTGGGAGGAGGGCAGCCTGCTAGAGAACCAGAGTTAGGACTGTGCCAAGTGGGAATGAAGATGACTGGGGAGGAACATTAGCACCTGCTCCTCCTCTACTCAGCTGGAGACACTCCCCTGTTTTTGGAAAGAACTGGTTTAGGGATTACTATATCTGAAGTTTCCCTTTTTTCAGTTCACAACAGACAATCATAGCCTAAAAATAAAAGATGAAAAATTCTAACCATAAAAATTCCGTAAGGTTTCATTTCATGCCACCCTGAGTAGTGTGATGAAATCTTGTGTGGTCCCACTGAGTCCCACTCAGAATGTGTACCCTTTGTTCAGTGTGTCCACAATGTATATACTACCTTCCTGTTAGCTGGAGATCATTTGAGAGCTAGCTTGATCACCTTGCTTGTGTAGGGTTCAGTACTGTCCATGGTTTCAGACATCTACTGGGTGTTTCTAGACCCAGTCCTCTGCAGATAAGGAAGGACTACTGTACTAAACAACTGGTCTTTCTGGCTTTCACCTCTCTTGCTTAAGACACCCTCATCAGCACACCCAGAGAGCCTGGGGTTCGATTAGCCCCAGATGGCTTTGGTGGAAACACAAACTACGTAGAGTTAGTTTGGTTAAAAACTGTCTGCATCAGAAGAGCTCATTTCTGATTATGAGGATCTGGGGAGGGCTCCACAGTAGCATCCAAAGTGTTGAGAACAAATTGGAAACCAGATCATCTGATTCTAGAGGCCTGAACCCTTGGTGGAAGCTGTAAAGCCACCAAAGTCAGGGGTGAGACTTGCCATGTTGGGGAAGAGGTGCTAAACTCCCAGGCGCCTAAAGTTCCTGGTGATATTTTTCTTCCAGTACTTGGGACTGAATCTATGGCCTTAGGCCTGCTGGATACTCTATTACTACTGAGCTACGTACTGCCACCCCTTTAATTTGACTTTGAGACGGGATCTTGCTAAGCTGCGAGGCTGGCCTGGAACTTTCAATCCTGAGACTCCCAAGTAGCTAGGATTATAAAGGCATGCACCACCATGGTCCATTGAGGGTTTTAAAGAGTATTTTTTCAATTTTATTCCTGGAAAGAGCAATGACTTCCAATTTTAAATGTACTTGAGTACATTTCTGATTGGTTTCTGTTTGTCTAGAAAGGATGTGGAGCAGGAGTAAAGAGGTTGGAGCCAGTGGGGGAAAGAGAGAGGAGACCGCAGGCAGAGACCAAGGCACTGCTCCCTGGGGCGTGCAGAGATGGGCTGTGGTCCCTAGAAAGGTTTAAAGAGATGGATGACCACCAGGGGATAGGCCTGCCAAGTTACAGCTGTTGGAAAAGCCTCAACTAAGGGGTGTGATACAGCACAGGATTCAGAACCAGGAAACTTGATTTTTCTTTTATTTTTTTGAGCCCTTGTTCTGAAAGGTAACTCTGAGGCTCTAACTTCTTTGTGTCTTCATCTGGAGAATAGAGACACTGACTGCTGGCTCTTAGCACTAGCCCAACCTCATGCCCTTGTGGGAGGGCCTGGGGCCCTCTGGGTGGGTCTGGATCTTGTAATCTTGCCATGCCAGCCCCAGGGCCAGAGTATGGCCAAAGGTGACCAGAGGCTGAGACCTCTTTGTAAGTGTGAGCTGCACAGTCCAATTCTTCATGAGAATTTGAAAGGAAACTGGGGTCCCCTCATAATAGTCCCCAAACATTGTGGACTAGGAGGTGGCACCTGGCTGTAAGACAGTCCCAGGGATTCGGTGACACTGTCCATGGCTGCAAATGGCAGGGTCAGCTTCAGCAGCTCTCCCCTCCCTCACACACTGTATTCAGCTTTATCCTTCCCACCTAGCATCCCACTGCCCCAGGACTTCTCTCCTGGGCCTTCTGTACTCTAACTTGGAGGGATCCTTAGGGATCCCCAGTGTCCTATCCTCTCCAGAACTGCCCACTCCCATGGACAGACAGCTCGGTGCATGCATGCCCACCTCTCCAACCTCACCTTATCCACCCCTGGTTTCTGCCTTTTGGCTTCAGCAACAGAACTGGCTGACCTTGGAAGCTAAATCCCCAGCCTCGGCCCCTGCTTTGCTCTTTTCTGCCTCAGAGACTGTGCTGGTACCATCTCTCCTGGTACCTCCTTAGCTCCAAGTCAGTCAGGCCAACTCCTCTTCCCAGACACCCTCAGTTTCTCCAGGTTGGCTCACCTGTGTTCCCCTCTTACCAGAGGACATGCCTGGCTGTGTAAATATGGTTCACTTGTCTGTGTGCTCTGAGATGGTAACAGATACCCCAGTGCTTCCTATGAGCCCCAAGAAAGTGTGGCAAATGCACATTTGGAAGCAGACAGCCCTGGATATAACACCTGCTCCGCTCTTTTCCAGTTGCGTCACATGGGTAGGTCATTTTACCTCTTTTAGCCTCATTTTCTTCAACTCTATGACATGGATACTACCCACTTCAAAGGGTTATTGGGAAGATTAAAGGCAGGGCAGGTAAGCCCTCAGCACCCCACCTGGATGGCAGGGAGGGCTCTATCCTGTTAGCTGCTCCTGTGACTAAGTATTTCTGCAGATTGCTGGGGCAGGTCGCCAAACAACAGAACTCTAAAACTGCTGTTCCAAGGAAGAATTAGAAACTCTTAGAAAACGACAAATCTTCCTTGTGTTTTTTTTTTTTTCTAGGAAAATGGAAAATTTGTCCAGCAATCAGGCATCCAGCACAAGCCATGTTTTGTTTTATTTTAAAGTGAAAACCCAAACATTTTAAAGAAAAACCTGGATCTCTTTGAGAGGCAGATCCCAGATGAGACCAAGAGTACAGTGGTGCCGCTTGGGGCGGGAGGGGGGGTGAGGGTGTGGGGTGGGAGGTGGTGGGGGGCGCACAGGATGGACTCAGACCTAGGACTGAACTTTCTGTGGAATCGGTGCCACCTCTCCAGGGCAGTGAGGCGTTGAGCTGCCCTGGAAACCCTGCGCTCCTGGACCAGCCAGGCGAGGTGGCCCTGGACATTTCTACCCCTTCTCAGAAGAGCCTGGAGCCCTGAGAAACCCAGAAGCAAACAAAGCAGCCAATAGAGGTTTCCGTACGTCCTAACTTGGGTGCGCTGAGCAGCTGCCCACAGACGATGCAGGAGGGTGGGAGTGATTCCCAAAGGACCGGGGGCAGGCGCCCCACCCCAACCCTTAAGGCGCCCTTCCAGGGAGAGCGGCTGAGGACGGAAGCGAGTTGACTCCAGGGAAGCAGGAGGCGCTCTCCGCACGTCTTCACGTCGGGGCTCGGACCTCAGTCTCCGCCTCCCGGTATTGGGCTTTCGGTCCCCAGGTCCCCACAGTTGGGCAAACAGATCTAGCAGGCCCACGGGCGCTCGCTCCTCTGGGAGCCGCCCCAGCGTTTGGAAACTACCCAGCGTGTTCCCTCCCGCCGCCCCCGGGCCGGGACTTGAAGGAAGTGCTAGGCAGCGGGGCGAGGAGCCCAGTCCCGGGTGCTGATGCGCCGGACTTGAGCGCTGACCGTCCACCCCACGGGCCGCGGAGCGCCCTGGCCGGGTCGGGCCGAGTCCGAGCGCCTGGAGCGCGCCGGACGCTGCAGGAGGCCCGACCGTGATCGTGACCTCACGGGGAGGGGCCAGCGCGGCGGGCCGGGCGCGGAGCCGAGCACCCAGAGCGCAGCCCCGAGCCGAGCCGACCGAGCGGCGCAGGAGAGCGCACGCCTGGCCCCGATGGAGCGGTACAAAGGTGAGGGCGCGGGTACCCGATGCGGCGCGCACCCCAGCCCCGCCCGGCTCTGCGCAGGGAGGGAGGACGAGGGCTGGTCCCCGCAACTGGAGTGGACAGAGCCGGCAGTCCCCACCCAGGAGTCCTTGAACCCGGCGGACGCGACAGCGACCTGGGCCGGGCAGGTGGGCTCCTAGGAGGTGGCTACGGCCCAGGTCCTTTGCCCTTCGCGCCCGCAGAGTGCAGAGGTCGGTGTGAGGCTGTTCACCTGCAGGAGACAGGGCGTGCGCGCCCTCTTCACCCCCACTCTTACTCTGCCGCCAGAAAAAAAATGAGTGGAGGAGGCCTCCAGTAAGGTGGCCGCCGTGCCTCAGTGCTGGGGGAGAAGGGCCACGCTGTTGGGTCCTGTCGCACGAGGACAGCCGGGGTAGTGGGCTTCGTGCAGATCCCCTGAGAGAGCCTGCTTAGGGAGGAGAAAAGAATCTAGGCTGGTGGGGTGGGCTCATCGGGCCTCCCTAGACGTCCCGCAGCTTGGGTAAGCTTTCTCTCCCAGTCCTGTCCGCTCCACACCCCCAAGCTGGGTGTGGCGTGGGTGTAGGAGGCCGGGTGGGGTGCCCAGCAGGTGGAGCGGTGGCTCGGTCCAGCGCGCAGCTGATCGAGTTTTGCACTTGGCCAGGACCTGAGAATCCTGGCCAGACTCTGGCGGGTGGGCCCTGTGGAGTCCGTGCCCAAGTAGCACCCGTTTTCAGAGCCTGGGCATGGAGTCTAGAAGCCTCGGACAGCAGCTGCCCCTTAAACTTCACCCTGCGGGCGTTTCCAATACGCCTTTTCTTCTGAAGAACCTCTTGTGCTGTCTTGGCCAAAATTGTGAGAAAATACTCCTGTATTTGTTTTCCCTCTGGAGAGGAGGAAAAAAATAAGGGAGAATGATCAGATTCGCAAGAAATCAGTCCCGCGAGGGTTTCTTATTTCTGAAACGGACATGAAAGGGCTTTAGGGACTCGCTTTATTTCTTTGAACCGGTGGTTTCTTTTGACTTTCATTTTTCCCGTCTTTGTCGTTTGGTTACTGCTGAGGACTAAAGACCCAAATCCTAGCTAGGCTTCACCTGTGAAGATAAGGGCTTGGCCTGCTGCAGGCCAGGCGCTGGCTGAGGTGGGCAGGAGGACTCAGTTAACTGGCAATTTTTGATTGATTCCTTTCTATGACCGGTCCCTGGAGCCTCGATATATTTCTAACTGGGTGGAGTTTTCAGACCTAAGGTTAACAGAAGTACTGGCCTTTTAGCATCTTTTTAGCTCCCAGAATTGTGAAGCTGAGAGGAGGTTGATCCCAGACTGAGGGCCCTGGTTAAGGACTGAACTCAGCAATAGCAGGATAGCAGGTGGGGTCTTTCCAAGTGCCTACTTTTTTTTTTTTTTTAAGACAGGGTCTCACTATGTACTGTATTTCAGGCTGGCCTTGAATTCCTGGCAGTCCTGCTTCAGCTTCTCTGAGTGCTAGCATGACAGGCATAGGACATCTCACAGTGTTTTTAGTACCTAAGGCTTCTTATTATTTGCAGATTTTCCTGTTAATAGTTTCTGACTTGGCCAGGTGAAACCTCTTGGTTTATCTTTTTTGCCTCAAGAGCTGAAAATCCTCCTACCCTTAAAGAGGGTCAACAGAGAGTGTCCTGTTAGCAGAAAGACTTCTGTTTGTTTGTTTTTTGTCTTTTTCATTTTTATCAGTACCGGGGATCAACTCACAACCCCTGCTTGCAAGGCAGGTGCTTATGCCGCTGAGCTAAATCCCCAGCCCCTAAGACTTCTGTTTGTTTTGGGAAACACATGTGTCTGCCTCATTATCTTGCAATAAATCAGGCACACAGAGCTAAATGGATAAATTTGAGAATTATCTAGATTGTGAGGTTCATCCCACTCATTTTCCACTGTTTGACTCACAAGGGAAAAAAAAATCTTTATTTTGAGTCTCACTGGTGTCATGCTCCAATATTTTTGTTTTACCTTTCAATTAGGAATTTGAGGCTCTCACCCTTCCCCAGGGATGTAGATTTCCTCCATTCTTTTGAGAGGCAGATACATTGTGCTCTGGAAACTTACTGAGTAGAAACTGCAAAATGAAATTTGTGTAAAAGGAAGGATCTCTGATGAGCTAGTGTCATGACAAGAATCAGTGGTCTTGTCGGGTGTGGTGGCTCACGTCTGTAATCCCAGCACTCAGGAGGCTGAGGCAGGAGGATCATTGGGAGTTTGAGACCAGCCTGGGCTACAAAATGAGCTCAAGGCCAGCCTGAACTGCATAGCGAGACCCTGTCTCAAAAAAAAAAAAAAAAAAAAAAAAAAAAAAAAAAAAAAAAGAGTGGTCTCTCACTTGTCAGAGATTGGGAGCTTTTTAATTTTTAAAATCCAAGATTGAATAGTTATGCACAAACTAGGTGTAATGTTTTAAACAATAAAGTTAAATGAAAAACCAAGGTTTATTTTGCTTCTCAGAACCTATGTAAAAAATTATAAAGCACAATTCTTATGATAATGCCTCCTATGCTTTTAAGTTCCAAATTTCTCCAGATAAGTAGAATATTCACCTCTGTCTTTAGATTCTCAAAATGTTTTTTTCTGCTTTGTCATCTTAGGAAGTGGTTGCTATAGGAGGAATTGTTTTTCCATATTCCCCAGCCTACTTGTTAACCATTATACATTCTCCAAAAATTAGGAGATCCTTTACATTTTCGTGTTTTCGCTTGAACCCCCATTGCCGTGTAGGATGTAAAGAGAGGCCCAGAGCTAAATCATTGGACCATCACCCTGCATCTCATCCAGAAAACCTTTCCAGACGTTCCTCCCAGTCCTTTCCAAGCCCTTCTGCTAGATAGCTGTGACTTTCTCAAGCAATAAAAAGGGGTGTGGAGTATGTGGGTTCCCTTTCTACAGTGATGGAGCTTTCATGAAAGTTGCCATAAAAAAGTGATGATACAGTTGGCATGTCTTATATATGAGTCTCTTGGTGCTGTATAAGCAGTGTGAACCTGGCGGGGGTGATGCACACCTATAATCCTAGCCTATGGAAGGCTGAGGGAGGTCTGCTGCAAGTTCAAGGCCAGCCTGGGCTACATAGTGAGTCTAGGCCAGGGTGAACTACATAGTGAGACCTTGTCTAAAAAAAAAAAGAAAAGAAAAAAAGGCAGTCAGATCCTTACAAATGTCCCAGATATGGTGCCACATCCTACAGGGTACCTTGAAAAGATTCCCATCCTTGCGTGTTTACATATTTATGGCTCTCCTAAGAGCATCCTGGATTCCTGTACATGAGTCCATTGGCTGAACTCGCCTCCTGTGGTCAAGGATTCTGGTTCCTATTGCTCTCCCAGCTGGTGAATGGGTCTGGAGCCAAGTGTGACTGACCTACTATCTGTGGATTGTGCTGGAAACATCATGCCTGAGCTTCCTGTAGTTGCATCACACTTGGATCTCAATAGGCCTGGTGGAGATACTCAGAGTTCACTTTGAAGCAGAGTAATTGGTTGACACTGTGATTCCTCTTTTCCTGTGTTCTCTGGTTTCTGAGTCTAATCCCTTGCTTCCCCATTTTGCTGTAGGGTCCTGGAGGTGGAGAGAAACTGTAACGAGTCAGCCAGGCAAATGCTTGAAGGCTTATCTGGGGCTTCAGAAATCTGTGGTCAGGGAAAGTCCAAAAAGGAAAAGCTAATTAAGAGAGATGGGCAGATTGATAACCTGCATTTCATTTTCTAGAATCATATTTTCCCATGCCTGTAGGCTTAAGTTTCTCTTTATCAAATTTCGTCCCAAGATAGTAGTGGCTTTTTTTTGGTTTTGTTTTGGTCTTTTTGAGACAGGGTCTCTATGCAGTTCAGGCTGGCCTTGAGCTCAATTTGTAGCCCAGGCTGGTCTCAAACACACAATGATCCTTCTGCCTCAGCCTCCCGAGTGCTGGAGTTACAGGAGTGAGCCACCAAGCCTGGCTACTAAGATAGTAGTGGCTTTAAACCTTAGCTGCACATGGGTTCCTCCAGGGCCCTCTTAGTACCGATGAGAGGATGGGACATAGATGTGTAGGCCTTGCTCAGCATTCTGATTTGTTTAGGAGGATAGCTTGGGCATTGTAGTTTTAAAGATTCTGCAAGTGACCCTAATAGTAGCCACATTTGAGAATCGTATTTCCTTTAAGAAATGAAATGCCAAAACAGAAAAAAAGTGTAGCTGTCCCTTGGTTCCTGGATCCCCAAAGATGCTCAAACCCTCACATAAAATGGTGTAATATTTGCAAATAACCTACACACATCCTGCTGTATATTTTTAATCATTGCCATTACTTATAGTATCTAGTACAATAGAAATAAACAGTTGTTATCCTGCATTGTTTAGAGAATAATGACAAGAAAAGTGTCCATGTTTATTACAGATGCAACCATCACAGGGCTGTCTGCCTAACACTGTGAGCAATGACATAAAATATTTTTCCGCAATTCCTTTTGCGCCTTGCTTGAACCAGAGATTGCTGTGGAGTGCAGACCGTAATTACACGGATGTGATCCTTACCTGGAAAAACTAACAACTGTGGCACGAGATGCCACAAACTCAAATTTTGTAAAACCTGTAGAAATCAAATATAATTTACCTTCAGCTATGTTAGGCTTTAATGGCCTATGAGAATGCTGTTTCAAAACATCTGAATTGTGCTTCCGAGCTAATCCCAAGCTTGGGGTTTGTTCATTGTACTTGACCCTGAGCCCTCCTGACTGTGAAGCTCTTTGTGTGGGCGCCCTTGATGCCATGAAATGCAGTGGTCTCAGACAGAGACACTGAGAGGTCAGTGTTGGTACAGAAAGGCCCATGTGTGGGGGGATTCTGCTTGGGCCCTTGTCCTCTTCTGAAGGGCAAGGAGATTTGGGAACTGGACCGGTTCCAGAACAATTAAAGGGCCAGGAGGGGCCAAGGCGCTTCAAAGCTGAGGAAGTTGTGCCCGTTTTCTTCAAAATCCCTTTAATGACAGGAAATGGTTCTCTAAAGATTTCTCCGGGGGAGGGAGATTTTCCCCAAACCAAGGGAGGATGGCATGTTTGGTGGGGAAGGAGGGCAGCCATGGACAGTTGAGAAGGCAGCAGCACAGGAACCTGGAGATCCAAGGGCTCCATGTCTTTGATCAAACCCCTGAGGACTCTAGGTCTCAGTTTCCCCATCCAGAGAACCATGTGAGTGTTCTCCGTGTGACCCTCCAAGCACTCTTCCATGCTGGCTGTTCTGTGGTCGCTGAGGAATCTGGAGGGGGGATGTGTCTGGGGAGGAGAGTGATGTGAGGGAGGGAAAAGGGGTGGGTCACCCCCACAAGGGTCAGTTTAGGATTGTGATTCTTATAAATAAAACCAATTTCCTGTTGAGACAGGGAGAGTTGCAACTTGGTGGGAAAGAGGATGCCATAGGCTATGTGAGGAATTTATCTCTCAAGGACTTGTATGTGACTGTGTCGCCAAAGATTGTTTAGCTCAGAACCATGTCTGCATCTGAAACAGAAAATTACTCCCTCCAGTTTAAGAGACAGGTCAGCTGAATTTGCAGAGATGAAGCCACAGTCCAAAGAGTCCGAAACAGGATCCGAGACCCTTGAGAACTGAGCTTCTGAGAGGAGAATTCCTGTTCGAGAATTTGTTTGGACTCCTTCCTTCTCACTGTCCTGTCAGCCAGGAAGCAACTAGCTGCTCACTTAAACTCTCAGACCTCAGGACCAAACCCATGAGTTTTTCCTTCTACAAAGCTTCCCCTGGGTCCCCTCATTGCTTTTGCTCTAGCTGATTGCTTTTGCTGATACATTGTAGATGTTGCATTAATGGTATGTTGTCTTAGAATTACATGTATATATCTGTTTGGCTGCTAGGTTAGGCTTCTTCAGAGACAGGGACTTTGTCTTTCCCTTCCAAGATACCTTCCCAGTCCCCAGTCACATAGCAGGGACCAGGAATGTAATCAGTGAAGAGCAGACCTGGTTTGGGAAGAGAAATCTCAACCCCAAATCCGGAAAGTGGAGATGTGAGCCAAGGTGGCTGCCCTGGGCTTCCCCGACTTGAGCCTTCTTTCTGTCTGTTCCAGCCCAGGGGTGTTGCTGTCTGGTGGTACAGAGAAGGATCCTGCAGGTCTCTGCCTGTGAGTATGAGCCTATCTGTGCCCTCTGCAGCAGCTCCCCTGGCCCTTGGGTGCCCGGAGTACAGACCTGGAGCTTGGCTCATCCCGTGTGTGGATGGCAGGCTGCGGAGAGCATCAAGCCCTACGCCAGTCTGGGCACTCTGGGGCTAGGGGTTCTAATCTGGCTTTTGCAACTAACTTGCTGTGTGACGTTGGGCAAGTCAAGCTTCCTGGTCCTTATTTCCTCCTCTGTGCCAGTGAGGGTAGTGATGACTAATCTGCCCCCTGGGATACTTGGCTGAATAATTCAGAAGAGCTATTTAGGAATACTTTGAGAAAAGGAATGTTAAACACACTCAGGGGGCATGTACCCTAGGACATCTGTGATGTATGCTGTGTGGGAGTCCTTCCAGTTAACTTGGGTGCCAGCTACACCCATCGTGTTCTTTTTTCAAAGCTTTTGGGAGCTCAGTGTTAAGGCTGTTGCCTCAGTTCCTAGTCATTCTTGTTACCCAGACACAGCAGCCTTGGAAGCCTGCTCTGCTGGCTGGAACAGTGCAAGGGAGGGGGAAGTCCTCATTGCACTCAGCCTGGTCCTGCCCGACTTCTCTGATGCCTCAGGTCATTGACACAGAGACCCTTAAACTCTAATGGTAGCTTTGAGCTTTTTGCTAATTTTTATCCCTTGCTTCTCAATTTCTCCTTGGTTGCAAAATTAACCAGAAACATTGAGTAGCGGGGAAGGAGACTGTACCGAGGAGACAGGAAAGAACTAAGATAGCCCTGATGCCATGGACAGAGGAGTGCAAAAGCAAAATGAATCATGGTGCCCTAATGTCCCTACTATGTATGGGGCTGAGTATTAGAGAGGAGTGGGGATGGAGCCCCATCCCCAGCTGAAACCCTGAGACCCCAGAATTTCCTTCTCACTTTCTCAAGGCCCTCTTAGGGACTTAGGGCAGCTGCCTGTGGAGGTTGTGGAAACCCAACCCCAGCCAATTACAAATCAACTTTCTGCCAGTGATTAAACCCAACAGTCAGCTGTTAGCTGGAGAGAGTACCCTGATATGCACATCGGGCCCCGGAGAGGCCTGTCCAAGGTCAGGTGACAAGCTGTCGCCATTTTCATGGGACCTTGCTGGTTTTACCACTGAAAGTCTGACATCCCAGGAATGCCTTTACTTTTGGGCAAAACCGACACTATATATTCCCCTATTCCCAAATCTTAGCTTTATTGAATGCTTCTAAGTCAGGCATTTGGTTTATCTATTGCAAAGGTGAGCTAGAGCCAGTGATTTGTTCTTTGATAAAATCTGAGGCTAAAAGATGAGTAGATAATAACAGACTAAGCGTACACACCAGACTCACAAGCCCACACAGTGTGATTTGGCATACCTTTCTGGAAAAGGCAGAACTACTTGAGGAGATAGGACACATATGAGTACCATGGTTGCTGGGGCTGGGCTTCATGGACCCCAAAGGGATACAAAGGACATTATTGGAATATTAGAATTGTTCAGTAGCTGTATTGTGGTGGTAGTGGTGGTAGTTACCCAGCTACATGTATTTGTTAAAAGTCAAACTACGTAGCTAACAGAGGAGCCCTGTTTCTTTTTTCTTGTATGTAAATGACACATGAGTCCACCTGCCTTTTCAAAACTCCCAGTCAGTTAAATGCAATGATGCATGCCTGTAATCCTAGCACTTAAGAAGCTGAGACAGGAGGATCTTGAGTGTGAGTCTAGACTAGGCTATGTAGTGAGATGCTATCTAAAAGACCAATAAATAAATAAAGCACCCTATCACAGTATGATTCTGCAGAATCAAAGGATCCCATGAGACTGATCATTGCAGGTTGTAAAAAAACATTGCAGGTTGGTATGTTTGTGCCTGTGGTGGAGCTGGAGGAAGAGCAGAAGGGTGTGAATTCTGGCACCAGAGAGAAAGATAAGGGCTCCTGCTTGACAGTGCCCCAAATGCCTGAGATTGTATCAGTGGGCACAATCACTGTACTACTGAAAGTTACCCCGCCACTTAAAGAAGAGGAAGAGAGATTCCCAGCAGCCGATGAGCTCACCAGGGCCTGAGGTACCAGAGCAGTGGCTCTAGGTTCCCTGCTGGGAGCTCTGCTGCTTCCCACACATGGATCTAATGCACTGGCTTTGGCAGCCTTTCTGCAAGTCTTCTTGATCTTCAGTGAAGTTACTGGACTGGAATTGACTGCCCAAGTCTGCACCATAATTATTTCCTGGTTGACTATCTGTTGTTAGCAATGCTGCTTGTTTACCCTAGCTAGGATTGATTTTGAAGGGGAAGAACCCATGAGGTTTCCAAATAATGCATCTAATACCATGTGTACCATGTGATGTAAAGAGTTAGTCCTTTGTTTACAAGCAAGGAGAACCCTCATCATATGAGGACATCACCAGCCCTCACTGCACCAGCTCAGGGGACAGGATATGGTGTCCTCCAAGAATGAAGGCATATCACTTTGTTGGTTCTCATTAAATTTTGAGACCCTTTATTTTCCTTTATTTTTTAAAATCAAAACCCATGTCAAATCAGCCAGTTCTTCAGGTAAATTTTGCTGGGCTCTGTCTCCTGGGAAGGTGGGTCTTCATTAAATACAATGGATTGTACAGCTTGGAGTGTTCATCCATTGAGGACCAGGTTATGATCTGCTGTGAAGTTACTAGGAAGATTTCACACATGCAACTCCTCTTAATCACACATAAGCCACTGGTCACCCACAAGTGTACTTTTCTGTTGCACTTGTCCTGGGATGTTTTGGAAGAATTACAGAGTATACCTGGTATAGTCCTTAGTTTCTGTTGTCTTGAGATTGTTGATAGGGCAGAGGTTGGAGATGCAAGAAGTTGTTTTGTGCAAATTTGTAGTGAAATTTCCTGGATGTAGGGTCAGGTGTAGCTTGAGGCCGGTCTGCCTAAGAAAGACCAAGCTTGGGGCACTTTGGTCTGAGGGCAAGAATGGGAGGGCTGTCTTATGCAGAGGGGCAGTTGAGAGTGTGTGGTGAGGAGATTCAGATACATCCTTACCTAGATTGTAAACCACTGCCCCTATGTCCCAGGGCTACTCCGTGTGCTGGCATCCCTTTGGTTTGGGGGATGGCATCCCTTTGGGTGTGGGGGGCTTCCTGCTAGACCAACAAAAGTGGGAATCTGGCCATTTCCTTCCACCCCCTTCCCCCACCCAGTTTTTACACAAGATTTATTCATGTCAACTGTGTTCAAGTCCCCAGATGGGGGCAGAAAAAAAAAGATTGTGTTGAATGAGCTTATTGTTTGGAAGTTTCACTGACTTCTTTTATTTAATGCCCACAGTCCTAGAACATATTGAGTTGATTTATGAATTTCAAATCTGGTCTTTTCGGAAAAGACTCTGCTAGAGTTAGTATCCCTGGTTGCAGAGCTGACACCTTTTTGGTGGCAAGTTTGCTTGGGGCATCTCAGCTTCATGCTCTTGGATCGCCTTGAGGGTAAATATTCTGTTCTAGCCCAAGACTCCCAGTGAGCTGGAGAGCATTACCACTCTATGGCTTTCTGTATGGTCAGCACCTTTGTGGTGTTCTCCACTAACACTTACTTTGAAAAAATAAAGATGTGCTGTGCCACTTGGCACTGCTAGCCTTTTGTGGCTCCTACTTGGCTTTCTTCCTTCCTTTCCTTCTTTCTTTTCCTCCTCTCTCCCTTCCCCTTCCTTCTCTCCCTCTCTTTGTCCTCCTCACCTCCTTCTACCCCTCCCCTTTGTGGTGGCAAGGGCTGGGGGTTGAGCCCAAGGCCTTTACACTGACCTATACCTTTAGCTCTTTTTTATTTTGAGATAGGATCTTTCTAAGTCTCTAAGTTGCCCAAGCTAGGCTTGAATTTTTCATCCTTCTGCCTCAGCCCCACAGAATGTTGGGACTATAGGTATGTACCACCCCACCTGTTTCTTGCTAAAAGGTGAGGAAATAAAGGATGGCAAAAGCGCATCTGTTGGGCAGAAGCACTAGGTATCAAGCAGCCTCATGCCTGTCACTCTTGTCTGTTACAGTATGGCCACTCCTTGCTGGGCACAGCAGAGCTGGCCCTTCAACCTCCCTCTATGCCACAGCCATACTGGACTCCTACTTATTGCCCACTCTGAACTTTTGCAAATGCCCCAAATGTGCTCCTCACAGGGCTGCCTGGCAAGCTTATAAGTCCCTGTTACTCAGCCTTGATGCTTTGCTCTCCGCATATGTTAGAGAGGACGTCCCTACTGTTTGTGGCCTGGAGGCTGAGGATCACCAGGGAGATGGTCAAGTGCAGTGGTGTATAGGGCTGCAGCACAGCTGCATGGTGATAGTTCCAGGTGACTGAAGCCTTAGGGATCGGCTAAGAGAAATATCAGGGATACTTGAGCTGGGTGGGTCTCATGCCTCACTGGAGTTGATGGAAATCAGTCTCTGGCCTGGAACAAAGAAGGTTAGGCTGATCCATGTGCACCAGAGAGTGTGGGCTGCTTGGTTCTGCCTGGTGGGGCTGCATGCAGGCCCTCAGTCTCCCTCTTTCCTCTTTCTTGTTCTTTTCTTGACTGTCTCCTACTTCCTCCCCTTCCTTTTTCTGCCAGTTCCATTTTGCAGGGAAAAGAGATTTCATGGAAAAATCCATGAAAAAAGACCACCTACCCCTCTCCTGTCCCCAGGTCTCTGGTAGTCAGTTTCTTATTGCAAGCTGAGTAGCCATAGTCAGAATTCCTTGCCTCCAGTAAGGTACCCAGGGCTTCTTAATATATCGCTCCCACCTGAAGAGAAGCCAAGAACTTCAGGACAGCTCTGCTGCTCTTCAGGTCCACAGGCATTTCCATACAGGGCCTGTTGCAGAGAATGCCAAGCTCTGCAAGCCTCAGGGCCCAAGCAGCTTGCTAACCTGGGACCCTGCCAGTCCCATCTGGCCTCGTTCAGGTGAGCATCTTGATTACCAGGACAGGGAGCTCTTACCTTCTTTCTGTGGGTCCTTAAAGGAATCTCTTGACCACCA